TATACATTGTCGAAAGTAACCAGCACATTGAAACCAAACGGGGTGGTTGGCCCTGTCTGGAGTTGCTGAACTCTTAGCTCACCCAGACTGACGTCCAGGCTACCCGGTCGGCACCACGAGGAGGTGGTTCAGCTCGCCGCCCAACGCTTTCCAACGACCTTCCGGTTTCGCCCATCTGGGGCTGGTCGGATAGGTGTATTCTCCCACTTTCTATCAATCTTATATCGTACTTGGCCACCACATTGTACGCATGGTGAAACTAAACACTCGTTTGCAGATTAATTTCAAACGTGAAGCAGAGTTGATGGGAATTCTGGGACTAGCCTTACCCAGTAGGCTTTAAGAAGGACGAAGCCAGAAGTGGACTGCACCTTTCGTCGACCTTATGAGTAATGTCTTGTGGATAAAGATTAACTCGATACATGAAATGTCATTCCAAATGCGATGGCTTTTCTCCGAAACATTCAGTTGGAGGATACCATGAACGAGAGCTCTACCTGAATTTCAGTTGAGGCTCTCGAAAGGCAAATTAGTGTTAATCTTCACAAAATTCGGTTCTACTTACCGGTGTCCAATGCACGGCTGGTCACATCAACGTTAGGCTTATTTTCTGTTACGGACTTTGATGTTTTCTTACAGCTTGAATATCATCACTCAAAACTGCGATGTGACAGGACTCCGGCAGTTATCCAAAGCTTGAATCTGACTGCCCATTTAGAGAATATCAAGTTACAGGCGCAGAACTTTCATTAAATGAAGCTGATTGTAGGTACCACAGGATAATGATTCACTATGGCGGACCAGTGCGTGAACGACTGTTTCACTAGTACTGAAACAGCTGGTATGCAGTTCATAGCAGTTAACGGAGGTATCATCACAGTAACTATAGAAGTCTTAGTTAGTTCGCCACTCCGTATACTTAGACCGATTTGCTGTTCTGTCATTAAGGTAAGTAGAGGAAGTGAAAAACTGAAGAATGACCGCATGCAACCATAACTCGTTTGAAGCATTTTGTCACTTTGGACCTAATGTACTTTTCTGGAGGGCTTCCTGATATTATAAATGACCCACCGTGTAAGTGCACGATGCCTTACCATCCAACTAAATGCGGTGGAACCTGTTAATCTGTTCAGAGGAAGACAGTCCATTGGATTTTGCTCGTGTCAGTCCGTCCAGAGGACGTTGGATGCCGTACCAAATTCAAAATGGACTGTTGTTGAGGGACCGACAATTTTGTTTGGATTCGATTTCTTGTCCACAACAAACTGACTATTCTGTCTAACACAACTGCATCCCGTGTTGGCTTGAGAACTGTACCGAAATCCATGGGCAACTCGTCCCAACACACACTGTCGTCTTTGAATTATCTTCAAATCTCTTATTTGTCTTTCAAATTCGCTGTCTTGTTTGTTTACGAAAATACAACTGTCTGGGCTTAGCAACATGTTACCGTCTGTGGCGTTCCCGTGGCGACAGTCAAACAAGGCCACGCAAATTCAAATAGCAAACATTGTGTACATTTGTTTGCATTTGAACATTCTCCGCGGACAAAAATAGCCAGATGACATAGACCGTATGAGCCTCAGCTCAACCGAGCTTTTGTGCATGAGGAAACCCGGCCAAGATTTAAACCACCGTTGTAAAGTTTGACTGCATTTGTGTCAATAGTAGTATGGTTGTTGCTGGAGAATCGTTCCGTAGTTCAAAGTGTTTTCTTTCTGCATATCTTCATCTTGAGTGACTTTTTACGCAGTTATGTACGTGCGATATTGAGCTGTAGTTAATATGGCCCACCGTAGGACAACTTTATTTAGATATTGACTAAACGGTGATAGCTGCCTATCACACACTTAGATGGCGAGAAGACAACCATCTTTAGTTCACGAGACGAGAAAATCAGGTTCTCTTGTACGTATACGCGAGTATTTTGCTGTCTTTTGAAGTTTCTGTGGCCAATACATAAGTAACAAATGTCTCAGGACTATCGCCAGGTGGACATTCTCCCGTGATTAATGAGAGCATCGCTTTGTGACAGATTCAGCTCCAACGCTTATTTATTCGTTTTCGCCGTATTGATTGCAAATGTCTCTCCAAGTATCACCGACTGATTTATTTCGCTACTTCTCCAACTATTGCCGAGTTAGAGGAATGCTAAATTTTGGTCGTTTATTCACTGTATGTGTCCTTACAGTGGTCCTCTCGATCTCTCCATCCGACGAGGATATTATTTATCGTCTGTGCCAAGCAGGTATGGCTCTTTTCGGCTACAGAATAGCAGATGGGTTTTTCAGTCGAAACGATTGGTTGAAAATGCAAAGTAGTAGCACAACTTCCCTGATGGAATACGGCTCTGAACATAATGGTGATCTAAAGCAAGGATTCTGGTTGATTTTTCTATCGCAGTCAGTGAACGGCCAATCGGTCTTCGGTCAACGAAGGCAGCGTAGCATTTAGCATCTGTTGATATTCTGAATAACGTGAAATGCCACCGCGAGACAAGCGGTACGTTTGGACGAATAGCAACACTGAGTATGGTGGCAATAAATGGTTCCTTCAACCGAGATTTTCCTAGGACATTGATCTAATATTCTCATTACGGTACTTAACAACATCATAAGTTTGAGTCTTCCGTGAAAAAAAGATATTGATTTGCAAATGATCGAATTTGTTACCATCAGTCCCATTTGGGCTTAAGTAGAACGGTTGATTGACGGAAACTCGGGGAGTGCGCCTACCTGATGAGCGCCAAGAAGAGCGAAACCGGTTGTCACCAACCTTAAGAGTAGTGCGTCTATGTAGGTTTAGTTTGAGGATTCGGTCTTATTGGGAGGCTGGTTGTGATGAAAGACCAATGCTGGTAGGAAAGCTTATTTTTCTTGACCGTTCGTTATGACGCGAAATTGGCACATATGGATAGGATAGATTCCTTGTTGGAGAACCGACGTACAAGGTCAAGAGAATCCGTAAAATAGAAAAACAGATCTACATCGGAAATTTATTTCTTGTGTGTTGTATTCCATCATTGAACGAACATCCAGCAGTCCATCTCAGGACTTCCGGATGGAGGATCATATTGCTGTTTCTGCTCGGGTATCTTTACTGTTTCAGCTGTCGAAGGGTTGTTCTATAGGTGAAGAGAATGCGATGTACTCCGTTTGAAATTTGCACAACCAAATTGCACACTCATGACCGGCGGAGGATGTGAAGTGGCCGGAACTCAGTCTAATCATTGCTAACCCTCAAATATTTTTCATACTGGGTTCTATACTCCGACATTTTGGTGAGGAAACGTTGCCGACGTCCACATAGTACCGATGAGGCAGCTTGTAGAGGTTGAGTTACAGCCCAATAGGCTGCAATCCTCACTCTTCTGTCACTATACTAGTATCTCCGTATTGCCTTTTTTACCTCTAGATGTAGGTGTTCACCATGGCTCCCCGCACTTCGTGAGATCGAAGCAGTTAACACCAGCAACGAGGACACAGAGTCGAGAATTGTGCACTTTGGCTGGGGTTCCTAATTCATCGGCTGGTGAGCTTCAAGGTGGAACATCTGCAAGCTTGGAGAACCAGCTTAGGTCGCAACAGAAGTTGAGCGCGAAATATCTTGAACGGGCAAGTTGTGCGTTTCAAAGTCTGTTTCAGAGGTTTCCTCGTTGAGTTGGGCGTTAACAAATCAGAACCGATACAAGTTCCTTCTCTCCTTTATTGAATCGACAATATGAACAGCTACCACACCTTATGTAGAGGTTGGGGTATTTTGTTGTGGTCATTGCTGGCAAACAATGGAAAACTCGAAAATAAGGATCGCTCGGGGCTTCTTTGCCGATTGATAAAAAATGATTTATAATTTTGAGTCTTGAGTCAAGTTATCTGGGACGGAAATTAGTAGCTGGCTTGGCTACTCCGTGCGTCCACATTTACAGTTCAACCTCCATGTTGCTCAAGCAAGATATGCTCTGATACGCTCAGTTGCTCACCAATTTGGTCTTTACGGGAGACTCAGCTGAATCCCAGGTCAATTTTTCGTTTTATCCCCTTCAGCTGAATGCGCTGCACAAAGAGAATCAACTGGGATTCACTTGAGAAACCAAATAGGTGCATTGGACCACTGGTAAATAGGACCGATTTTTGTGAAGATTAACACTAATTTGCAAAAGGCTTTGGTCCTTTTGGGAGCCTTAACTGAAATTTAAGTAGAGGTCTCGTTCATGGTATCCTCCAACTAAATGTGCTGGTGAAAAGCTGTGTCATGTGTAGTTCGCGAATTTCGTACGATTTGGGCTCAAGTAGAACATAAGATCGACGGAAATTCGGGGACCGCGCCCACCTGGTGAGTCCTAAGAGAAGAGAATACGGTCGTAGGCTGTCGGTCAGTTTTCAGCAACCTTATGAGTAGTTTCACTCAAAATATGCTCTTATTTCACGTATGCAAGATATTCCTTGCTTCCCTATCTTTTCGCGGAAGTGTACGCAGCAGGGTATCCGTTAGGGAAGCAAAATACTTGCAAGTCGGGATGTCTGTCTTTCATGAATTTTGTGGTTTTATAGACAAATCTTCAACAGCAATCAGCGCACTCGTCTGAGCTTACTTGACACAACAAATCGCAAGCATATGGTGAATGAATTTGATTTTTTATTAATAAGTAGAGTTTTATATTTTAACTCTAACTCAAACTACGTTACTGGCAGTTCCATGTTCTATAACTGTGTCTGTTATGATGACTTCTCCAAGTCCTGAGGGCCTTCATTCAGAATTATTCTCGTTGTTTAGCATATGCTTAACGTCGTTCGAAAAACAGGTCGTTCGAAACAGATCACCAGTTAAAAGTTCCAGATGAGTGGATTGTAGTCCTTCCATTCAGGAGCTCACATTGTTGACAGTTACTTCCTTCTCGTAATAGTTGATCACAAATTCTCTGACCTAACTTGAATCTTTGAAGTCAGCTATTGGCGGTTGCGAATTCGATGTATGCTGCGAAATTGTGCAAGTTATTGGACTGCCTTCGGTGTGGTGGCGGTTGAGTCATATGTGGGTCGAACATGCTTAGTTTTTGTGATTCAACTCTCACGCACCACAACAATCTGGGTATCCTACCATCCTCCACTTTCTTCTCTGAGGCACATTACAGATGTACTATCTAATGGCTTGGACTAACGAACCACCTGTTTTCGTTCGGATAGCCTCCTTTCTCAAAAAAGCAGTCCTCCACGTACGTGGTAACTGGCCGAGATGAGCTTGGTGGCGATAATCCAGTTAATACGGCTATTGTCTTCTCCATTCATCAGTTAGTTCGATCGCTTTGCTGATGGACAAGCCATCGGAAATCTGGAGAACTGCGTTTGGTAAAAAGCAAATATCTTACCTCGCACGTTGATTCCGGTCTGCAAATACACACACAAACAGACAAAAATGGTTGTCGTGTTTCGATTCCTCTGATGATCGTTCACGAAAGATGCCTTGATGTGACCACGCGATAACAATAGCCTGGGACAAATGGGTTCGGTTTGAAGCATGCTTATTGTTCATCCATTGTTCTGCCTCTCAAATATGCATCACTGCACCGGCGCGTTAGCAAAATGAAATCGTTCACGAACCAATGATAGATAGATAATCGACGAAACAACCTGATTTGAACTGCTAAGACTGTGTTTATTGTTCCTTGTGTGATTCGGTTCCCTAATTCTTACGAGAATTCCGCTGAGAATCCTTTAGGGAACTCACAGATGTCTTTCACTTAGGGATCCCGTTTTTTCTATCCTTTAGTTGCCAGCCATCGATTATTCATGACTGGGCAGGATTCGGACAGTGTGTATTCTGCTGATCCGTGTAAGCTTGGTGCAAAAAATCAATGGAATAGGCGTGGACTGAACGAGACAAAACAGCTGGTCCGAATAGAATCTTCCAGCACGTAGTTTCCTAGACTGCCATTGTCCAATATTTTCAGTCATTCCATATCACAATAGGACAGAACACTCTCATGTGTGCCAAAAAGGTTGATTGTCTGTACGGCTTATTAACAATGTTCAGAAAGTCGAGTAAGGTCGAGTAAAGGTCAGCGACAGGTTTTGTTCCGAGTGGGCAAATGTTGTGTATCGTGCGCATACAAGGTTGGCTGAGTAAACCCAATCAGGGCTGCTGACCAAACTAAATGGAACGTTAACAACTCACCGATCGTCTCTATGAAATGAGTCAAAGGGACTTGTTGTTTATAAGGTGTGTTATACGGTTCTCATTGATCACGTCTCCCAGCAGGAAACACTTCCGCGAACAAGAAGCCTTGGTTCCCCCGAAGGTTTTCTACATAAGGGTTGATTGTCTTATCAGTGTGAAGACTGATTGGAAAGGTAGCAACATTCACAAATAACAAATCGTTATTAACACTAAGGATCCATGCGCCGTGCTTCGGAAATTCATCACCTGAACTAGCGTCCATGCACTTCGCATTTGGCTGCCACTTGATGACTGTGCAGTTTCACCCAATAACCTCTGTCACCTTATCACACATAAGTTGTGCAAACCAGATAAACAATTCCAGTTCGTCGAAAATAGACTTACTCATGGACCAATTCATTGCGAATGCATGTGTATCATCGACACGCTTGTGAAACAATGTTATCGCCCTGATTATCTAGATACTCGAACTGGAGGGGGAACTTGTCCGTAGTCGTGAGGAGGTCGCTATGTTGAAAGATACTATGAAGCAACAGTCGGAAAAGTTGACACAGCGTTGGCGCCTAATGTCTAATCGTTGTCGTGAGTTGGAACGGCGGCGTCGGTTTGAAATGCAGGGACATAGGACAGACATCGACATGTTGCGGAAGAAGCTTAAAGGAGTGGAAAAGCAACTTTTGCAGGTAAGGGTATTGTGTTTTCACAAACCGGCCGTACTGGAGCTGTGTGCTCCAGTGCTGTGCGAATTGAGTCTTCTCCCTCTGCTTCTGGTGGGGTTCGCGGTGTGTTTTAATAAGCCTTTTTATTTCCTAGTACCGAATAACATTTAGGGCTAACGCTCTTATTGTAAGAGCTAGCTCAAGGGAAACCTCATTTCTGTCCAAGAACACCTTGCTTGTGGTACCACTCCGATGAATTTTTGTCAGTACAAGAGGCTGGTGAACTCTCGTTGTTCGCGACAAGTTAATAGATGTAGGTTCTTGAGTAAACCAGTGTTGACGCTTATGTCACACTCCTGTATTCGAACGCAGTCTAACCGTTGTGAGATTCATTTGCATACCGTAGTCATATTTCCCGTTTAAAATACTCGGTCGGTGTTTTCAAAACTGGTTGAAACCAGCCTATTTTGTCGACATCTAATGCGATTCAAAGATGTTTGAAATAAGGCGCACGGAAGTGCCCTCAAGAAGCTACAGGTTCTGTGGCTTCATTAATTTTCGACGATATTTTAATCATTACATTGATAACAGTTTGAATTTAACAAAGATATGTCTTTTGAAGTCTCTTTGATTGAACCAAACGATCGACATTTCAGTTTCTATGAAACGTTATACCTTATTTATCATGACGTGCTCGTCTATGAACCTAAGTTATTCAAGTGTATTATTGGCCACTGGACTGAGCCTTCATTGAGTGGATAAATTCATGATACTTATGAGATTTCACAGCTTCAAATCGAAAATCTGGACTAACTACGGTTAGGCCAACGCTCTTTGGTACATCATTATTTGCCGTGTTACGCACAAAGCATGTACAGAAACGTCAGCTACCAAGCTAATGGGGCAGCATCAGAAATTCGCATTGAGAGTACCCAGCTAAACGTGAATGTTGAACATCCTTGCTTACCACAGGTAAACAGACCTCCATTACCTTACCCAGTACCATTCTGATTTCCCATGTTCCGAAAAAATTGTGCTTTTTGTTTAGGGTACAAGAGTCAAAGTGCCAGCATTTTCCGCTGCCCTCCAGGGGGCTGATGTTTTGCTGGTAAAGTTGGCGGGACTAGATATGATCCCTCTAGAAGAGAAGACACTTTTCTGAGAATTGTATTTGAACCCGCATATGTGCACCAAGATGCTGCAGCTGAATGATTTGACTTAGCCGGGAGACAGGCTTCTTATCTACAGGTGGTGAAATCACTAATGGAACCAGGAATTTGTGTTCTTCCTATTCACGATCAGGTGAGCCGGTGTATTAATGTGCCCATATCAGAGCTATTCGATTAGGGAACTGCTTCTGGATTTTAATGGTTTATCACCCTAGTTTATCGTTCAGCTGCGGCACTCTTTCAGTGCCTTACCAAGCACGAGGGCTAGGATACTGCCAGATTGCCCAAGCCTAGATAGGGAAATTCGAGAGACAGAGGTCGGGTTCGAGCCTCTTCTAGATTAACATCAGTTTCATCTGTGTGTGACGTGGGCCATTGACTACATCTAAGTTCTACTTTTTTGCGTGTTCCATACTTCCCCAAAATTTGTTTTCGTTTGGAACAGCCTCCGAATTTTCACAACTATGGGACGTATTTTCTGTGGAACTAGTCAGCAGTATAGCAACGATGGTGTTATGTCCAGAAAGCTTCAGTTTTGGGGACTAGCAAATTTAACCTATATCCGATTAGCCGTTCGCTTATTTCATGCAGTGCGAGATTAGGGAAACCTAGAAAGTGTACCTGTCTCTTTTGGATCTCCACAGCACAAAGCCCCAATATGGGTGCATCTCCATTGAGAGCCTGGAAATCATTTTTGGTGAAATTAGGACTAATGTTACGGATTATTACTCATTAATTCAGCAGCTGGTGCTTTTATTATCTGTGTTAGATTTCCATTCCGTCTACCGGTTGCAGCCATTTATCTCCCAAAGACTGATGCCTGTTTTTACTTCCTGACAGTTGGACAGGCGTGGTACTTGTCCACATATCTTACTTTTCTCAAGTGTAGTGATGCCTGACTGTGGATTGCATCAGATGTTTTTTACTGACTGTAAAATTCGAACTCCCGTGGATAAAACCGCATACAGACTGACGTCGCCAGAGATGCTCATCTGGAGTTGGATATCTGTTGGTAATTGATCAGGTGGCTGTTGATCTGTTCGCCGAGCTTGGCAATTGATTTGCAAACGTTTCGTCACCATTCGAGGAGACATCTTCAGTGCGCTGTTGGTTGGGTAGTTCCTCTCTTCGTGCCTGCGTTTATATAGTCTACAAAGAGCAGCCTTTGCGCTGTAACCTGGATTCTGATTGGCCCGTTCTTGATCTGTATTGCGTCGTGGTCGGCTTCTCTGTTGGTTTGTGGCGTGCCTCCTATTTTTAGTAGCCTGCTGTTCTATTGATTTCTTCTTTGAGTCCTTGTCCGGCCTCGGGTTCTGTGGTTCTGGATTTCCTTTGTCCTCAGAGGCTGGTAGGCAGGATCAATCTCAATGTGCCTGTTTATTGCTCCACCAGTGGAGTACCACGCCTCCATGAACTCGCGTTCTTTCTTTGTTCTTGCTTGGCCCAGTATTCTGATGTTATTCCAATCGAAGTGGTGTCCTTCCCCATCTTCGTGTGCAGAGATGAGAGAGAGTTGGTCATGTCTCTTGGTGGCGAGCTTATGTTCGGTGATTCTGGTTGACAGTTTCCTCCCTGTTTGTCCCACGTAGTGTTTTTCACAATCATTGCATTGAATTTTGTAGATTACATTTGTCTTTTCCATTGCATTAAGTGTCCCCTTTGGTTTTGATAGTACTCTTCGCAGCGTGTCAGTCGGTCTGTGGGCCACTTTTATGGCATGCTGTTGTAATATCCTGGCGGTCATCTCCGAAATGTTTTTGATATATGGTAATGTGATTGTTTTGCTTGTGTTTCTGGTTGTCGCGTTGGTTGAATTGCATTTTCTCAGAGATCTCCAGACGAAATTCCTTGGGTAACCGTTCCTTTGAAACATTCTGTATAGGCGTTTCTCTTCTTTTACTTTAGATTCTACTGTGTTGCAGTGTGTTTCAATTCGCTTGAATAGTGTCCGGATGCAGCTCTCTTTGTGGCAGTTTGGGTGGTTGCTGTGGTAGCTCAGAATTTGATCCGTGTGCGTAGCTTTTCTGTAGACTTCCGTTTGCATTTGTCCGTTCGGCAACCTTGTGACGAGGACATCTAAAACCGCCAGCTTGTTGTTGTTTTCTTCTTCCATCGTGAACTTGATGTCATCGGAGACACTGTTTATCAATTGGATTGCTCGTTGTAGTTCTCTCTTCTTGATGATGACAAAAGTGTCGTCTACATAACGTACCCAAAGCTTCGGGTTGATGTCCGGCAACACGGTCCTCTCCAGTTTTTGCATTGCGATCTCGGCGATGAACCCTGAAATTGGGGAACCCATTGGTGCTCCTTTCAATTGTTCGTAGTATTCACCGTTGAATTCGAAGTACGTGGTCAAACAGAGGCTGAGCAATTCACATATGTCTTCCTTCCTTAGAGGTCCACTGGGAGGTCCATGACTGTCCAGTAGTTCAGCGACTGTTGTCTTTGCCGAGTGAAGGTCCACTGATGTGAACAGTGAGCTGACATCAAATGAGACCATTGTTTCGTCCTCTTCTATTGTCACATTCTTTAGTTTATCCAAGAACTGTTGTGCGTTTTTGATTGAGTGTTGCGATTCATTGATGAGATACTTGACCTTTCTCCATAGTTCCTTTGCAAGGTTGTAGGTTGGTGTGCCTGGGAGTGACACAATTGGCCTTAGTGGTGTGGTCTCCTTGTGTACTTTCGGGAGTCCGTAGAAGCGTGGGGTATTGGATTCTCTGGCTCTCATTCGCCAATATTCTTCGGTTGTGATCTTTTGGAGGTCCTTCAGTCGCTTCAGGCTCTTGTTGATTTTGTTCGCAAGTTTTTTAGTTTGATCATCCTCCAGACGGCGATACGTGGTAGTGTCGTTGAGCAGAGCTTTTGCTTTGTCTACGTAGTCCGATTTGTCCATGATAACGGTCATCCGTCCTTTGTCCGCAGGTAGAATGATGATGGTTTCATCTTTCTTCAAATTTTCTAATGCTTCCCTTTCCTTGTTTGAGAGAAGGTTGAGAGTTTTGTTTCGTGTGATGGCCGGTACCACAGTTTGACGGAGTTGTTGTTGAGCATTCTCATCCAGTTCGGCGGATTTCATAGCTGCCTCTAGGCTGGCCAAGAACTCTAGATTGGTGGCATCTTTGAAATTGAAGTTTAGTCCTTTAACAAGAACATCCTGTTCTTGAGCAGTCAGTCGTTTGCTAGAGAGGTTCTTGATCCACGTCTCGTTGTTGGTGGTGATGGTACCATTTTTGTTGTTTCTGACCAGTCTTGAAAACTTGGTTTCTAGAATAATTCGCTTCTTTTCCGCAGCGGACATAACTCTTCGTTCGATGGCTATACTGAGTTCTTGTAGTAGAGCTGGTCCTATCGTTCTCAAACACGTGTCCCTTTCTTCTGTGGCGATCCGCGCATACTTCCTAATGCGGTTATGTGCATCCGTTATCATGAGTCTAACCATCCGTCTACCGTTGCTTCTTGCTAGCGCCCAGGCCTGGGGGTGATTGATCGGAGGTCTATAGGTTACGCTACGTGGTAGAATGTGACTTCGCAAGCACTCGTGGAGAAAACGTAGCTGTTGTCGCGTGGAGGCTTGTCGGCAGGCGAAAGTCTCCCATCGACGAGCTGTTTTGAGCGTGGAACGCCCGAAGTTGTTGGTAATGTTTTGGAATGTTGGTAGCTCGGGTGTATTGGTTGGTAATTGATCAGGTGGCTGTTGATCTGTTCGCCGAGCTTGGCATGGATATCATTTAAGATAATACAACAAAGGCGCAAAGCACGTTCCATCCATCAGTGTAATCGTCACTTTTAGGCAGAAGCTGACTGTTCCACTTAGTCTATCGAAACAGGTTTATTCGCTGCGTACATTGAGCGGGGAGGTCTACCGTAATCTGTCTCCTTTATTTATTTCCCGCTACAATTGTAGCTCTCCCTCGACGACTACAACAATGATGGACACCCGGCAATGCCGTCACAAGATATGGATATTGTCTTTCTCCGACAAGTTAGAGCTTCAACTGCCAAGTCGATTCGCCTCATGAGTGAACTGAAAAATCTGAAATTGAAAATGTATACATTGGAAGATGAAGTGCGGAAAATATAACCCCTTCTCACTTTATCAATCGAATCGACATCAGCCACAACTTGTCTGGGTCCCTCTCAACACGTTCCCTAACTTCCACATAATTTTTGCCCTGAAGCAATGCATTTGTTCCGTCCATCAGTTGTTTTTTGTCGAATTTTCACAGCGCTAAGGACACGTTCCGCTCAATCCGTTCTTGTTTTCTACGTCTGGTCAATTCCTTACAGTTACTGGCTGTGTAATTGGTCTTTCATTTTTAGAGGAAGATCGTATATATATTGTTTTTCTTGAAAAACGTGTTTTCTGTTTTCTGTGTTGTAATACAGGAAGGGGTCGTAGATCAGCTTCGTCATTTCTGTTGTGAAATTAAAATGGTAGACTATAGTAACGCTTATGGCGCAGGTGACCTTTTGGAAGCCACTCTATTTGTCTAGTGCATTTCGGGTGCTTCTTGATACCAACACCTCAGATGTGGAAAGAAGCTAAGCAGCTCCTCGCTACCACTGGATGTATATTCTCTCCTCAGAATACAGTACGTGATCTACCTGGATGGTGCGAAATCCTTAAAAAGCCAACCAATCACGCACTCGGGATAGGGAGTTTTTCGAGGAATACTCTCAAGGATATTAATTCGAAGACCGGTATGATCGTCTCGTCCTCTTCAGCAATATTGAAAGCACAGTTGGCAATTAGACCTGTCATGCAGCCATGATCCAGAAATTTTCAATAGGATTATGGTCTGGCTATGGGTTGGATGGCTAATACTCGAGTTATTCGAAACACGTGACTGCGTCGAGTACACCGTGTTCGGATACATTAAAAGAAAAAGGCAGGCCACCAAGTCGGTGTCTGTTGAAGTTAGTCACTTCGGATTTAACATTTCGTTGCCTGCGCTGAGTTTCTGTTAGAATACACTATAAATGGGACACCAATGTAATGTCACTCAGAAAATTTGATATCTCATGTAAGCTGTCAAAATATTACGTTGGTTCCGGAGATACGCTGCCCTAGATTTTTCATCCTTAGATGCTTTTGGCCCGGAAATTTCCCCCTCTCCTTGCAGCTTCTGAGAAGTGCGCATTGGTTGTTGTAACTTCTCGACGGAAACATGAAAATCGAGCACTGGACAATCGGTCTGATGTTAGAGTTGGTGGTTTCTTTTCTGCTGCATCAGACGTCGATGTCTCCATAACGAGTCTCACTTTTCAAAGTGCTCACCAAAACTGTTGTCCATTGTCTACACTTGCCATCCGTTGAATATTCATAGCGAAGAGCCACATGGTTGTAAAGGAAACTGCTCACAAGGTTGCTGAAAGCTCTTCGATAGCCCACTACCGGTTTCGCCCTTCTTGGGGCTCATCCGGTAGGTGCAGTCCCCGAGTTTCCGTCAACCTTATGATCTAGTTGAACCCAAATTGGACTTTCGAGAAATACACTCATTTGCAAATCAATTTGGTTTTCACGAGAGACTCAATTGAATTTCTCGTTTATGATATTCTTCAACTGAATGTGCTACACACAGGCCGCCTCATGTTTCATTTGGCACGACATTCGAGATATCGCAGTATATTTTCATAAAGAAAACTGGGCTGTCGAAGAGTTTTCAGCAACCTTGTGAGTAGTTTCCTTTATGAAAATATACTGCAATATCTCGAATATCGTGCCAACCGAATCATGAGGGGGCTTGTGTGCAGCACATTCGGTTGCAGAATGTCATAAACGGGAGATTCAGCAGTCTCTCGTGAAAACCAAATCGATTTGCAAATGAGGGTATTTCTCGAGCCAGATGGTTGCTTTTCATACCAATCAACAAGTCCATGGAAAGTTTTGGTAAATACCGACATGATCAGTAACGTTCAGAAGCGACAAGTGAAAGCTATTAGGACTTCAGAAAACCAACCCCTTTTTATCCTACTAGGGATCTGATCATGAGCGCACTAATCCATCAGTCCAGACTGCAACCGGCTGCTATGCGCCGTGTAAGTCTGTGATCGGCCTGCATGCCGTACTTTGGAATGAAGTCTGCACACAACAGTTTGTTCTCGATAATATTGAGCCGACTTTAGGGGACGAGATAGCTCAGCGGTTAGAACGTGAATTTACTGACTGGAAGTTCCGTGGTTCGAACTGCGACCTCCGCCTGCCGTCTTCCCCTGTCTTGGCTTGGGCAACCTGGCAGTATCCCAGCTTTCGTGCTTCCTTCTGGTGGCATGGTAGTTAGGCTACAGCCGAACGAATCTTGAGCATGAATTGGATTTAAATACATATGGGTTCTAGTTTCTATAGGATATGTGCGAGAAACATGGAACTACTTTTGTTGAGTTTAATTTCCCCAGTGCCTCACATTTGTTAATTTCACTATTCTGCCTTACCAAATATGATCACAATGCTGAAAAAACCCCTTTCAGAAGGTGATAATGTGGAGTATATTGTGTGGACCTTATTTTCCATTAGTTCTTGTTAGCATTATACTCCGTCATTAGCGTGACATGAGGCACTAAAAAACTAGTTTATCTGTGTTCCACTGACTACAACCAGAAAAAGCATTCCTTGCCTGAGCCAATTTTAACCCCGTGTCCGTCTCATCTAGTCTTGAATGTTCATGTTCGCTTTGGAATAAGAGATTCGTCTCATACTCCTTAGAGGCGTTCAGCTGTAGCACCGCTTTCGGTGCCTAGCTGCCATGTCACCCGAAGGAAGCACGAGGGCTGGGATACTGCCAGGTTGCCCAAGCCTAGACAGGGGAAGTCGAGTGGCGGAGGTCGGATTCGAACTGCGAACCTTCCGGTCAGTAAATTCTCGCTCTAACCACTTGGGCCATCTCGTCCCCGTCAAAGAAATACTCCTTAGAGCAAAATCAGCATGAGAAGCTACGCAGTCTGATTGCCAAACTAGAAGACTAAACTACAACGCGATCAAATGCAGTTCACAAGAGAAGGTAAAGTGCTTGTGCAGACTACACGCTACTACGGCTAAATGGACCAAGCCACTGGTCAGTTTTTTGGAATTGATTCGTCAGTCATAGCGAGCACCATTTTTACCGTAGCATCAAGGGTGACCTTCTGTGCGATTGTGCAGGTGGGTGGGAAGTGCAATCGTGTTGAAACAAATTAGACAGTACGTAGTGCGTAGTACATGTCTATAGGGATGTGTATGCTACTGTTGTGGCGATGTGTTCAGTTTTTTATGGAACTTCACAGGCCTCACACGAGCTATCGACCCGACGCTTGTCAAGTCGGGACTTGGTATTTTTATGGGGGAGGGATCCACAAGAATTTCTTTGAGGTTGTCGTGGTTGGTTTTAATTGCAATTTTGCTCCAAACAACCAACGTGATAACGTAAAAACAGTTACAAATACATTATCCGATATATCCAAACAAAAACTGAGATTTCAGGCAAAATTGAAAGTAAGCAGACCTTCGGTGCAGGAATTGTATACGAGTTACAAGATGCCGCTTTACAGGCACACTGCTGTGTTCTGTTTTACTGAGGATAGTTCAAACTCAAAGTATATGCTATGCATGCGTAGACTGTCATCGCTTCTGCGATAATTATTCAAATGGAGACGAAGAAAGCTGCAAGCAGTATTTCGAACTCCCATAAGGAAATTACGGCTGCCCGTCACACGAACCAAGAAGTCGAAACCGATTCCATTCCCGATACTTATGTTCACCTCCTCCAGTGGTAAGTCAGCAGTGTGAGCCAAGCGTCAGCAGGCCTTTCGGTTCATTGCAAAGCAATCGTTTGGAGAGTCACAGAGTTGACGAAAAAAACATTAATCAGCCGGAATGACATTTTTATTTCTTAATCGTGATTACTTTTACCAAATGCGAGAGTGAAGCATCACTGTCAACACTGGTGCCATTTTCTGATTATGATGATGACACGAAAAACAGCGATGTAGCAAATGTAAATGATGAAGATTCCTCAATTTCTTTGTAGTTCTGTTTTTTAACCATTAACGTAGAACACTGATCTAGTGCGTTGAATGTGGGTTGTCATACACATTCTTTCAATATGGAAACGTCGACAGCAACAGGCGCGCCCGTTCGAATAATCCAGCATGTGTGGACCCGTCGTTGATCCAACAAAACTTGGGCGTACATGTTGTACTTTTGTCCTCAAGAGGATTGCCAATAAAGATGAAACAATTGTGTGGCGCTTCTTAGATTTTCAGCACAGATTCGCTTCATTTCCATTGAAAACTTCCAAATCTCCACACACTCGAGAATTCAGCGAACAAGTACCAATGGGGCATGGATTCTGTGACTGAAGGATGAGTGGAGCTATGTTCTGTCCAAATCAGTCATACTGTTAGTCAGCCGTTTGTGGTCGGCCGGATGTGCTCAATCTGCTAGCAGAGTGGTCACGAGATTCACACTACTGATAAGGATGAAACAGTGCTTTTCAGTATATGTTGGCTTCGCCTACAGAACCAAATCTGATGAGAGTACCAAAATCTCACACTATTAACAACCTTTTTGCTTGTTCTGTCATCTGACTACCGGTGAGTAGCCCGCGCACCACTGTCGGGAGGGAATTCGTTTTTTGGTAGACCAACGTGAAGAATTCTGAGGAAAACCATTAGAATACCTAAACCCTTCCGCGTCTGTCATTTGGCTGAAAAGTAGGGTTGATTTTGTCAGCAGCTGTAAAAGTCGGTATTAGTTCGCGTGCCGGTTGCTGGCCTAGGTCCGAGACCTTTTATGGCATGGCACTTGGCACTCATTAACGTGGTGTTTAAGCACACGTAAAACCACTGTGCCGCGTGACTATGTCGCAGTTTCTCGATAGCCCTTAGCAGCTATTTCCTCAAACGGGCAAAGGTGCATTTTTTCAATCCACTCAGAATGAGTTGATGCGCATACTTGACGCCTGATGCTATAATTAGTTATGAGGCACAGTTGACGCTGTATGTGCTAGTCGGTTTAGACGCCCAAAGTTGGTAAGCAGTAGATGCCACTGTATCACGCACGTGTGCTAGGGCCATCTCGAAGACACCAGGGAGCAATTAACATCACTGATGTCAAAGCAAGCTTACTAGCCATTAGTCGCCAACCTCAACCTTTCAGAAGGATATATTTATGTCTTTGTTAATTGAGTGAATTCCAAGAGATAACATCTTTGGTTTAAGTACTTATTGATAACACGGGAATCAAAACACTAATCGCATTGTATTACCGGCTTGTTGTTGGGAATCTCATAAGGGTAATCCCCATATCCCAAAAATCAGTTGATAAAATTACCAAAGGCTG